TTAGCTGCCGTTGAGGATAAATATTTCGATAGCGAAAAAACATACGAACAAGTACAAGAAGATATGGCAGATACAATGAAATATTTACAACATGAAATTCAGGTATATTATTTGTTATGTTCAATAATAATAGGTACGTTTGAGGAAAAAACTAAAATTAATTTAATTAAAAAAAAAAAACCAATTTAATAATTGAATATCGACATCTACAAAGTGATTTGAATCAAAATTTAATTTAGAATAACTAATTTGTTAAAAAAAAAATTTATATGAGTTTTGTTAATTTTGTTTTTTAGTCAAACGAAATAGAAATAAAACAATTTCAAGAACAAATAGCCAATTTAACCAAAGAATTAACGACTGTTACTACACACTATCAAGAAATATTTACTAAAATGGAAAATGAATTTGATGTAAAAAAAAAAAAAAAAAGTTTTTTTTTGTTAATAATAATAATAAAAATGAATTTTTTGAATGAATATAAGTAACGTTAAGAGTGAGTAATTTTTTTTTTTTTTTATTAGAAAAGACAAAGAAAATTAAAAAATTCAATACAACTAATAAAAACAAAATTAATTGCTTCGGAAGAAGTTAGACAGCAAAGAGAAGAATATTTAAGAAGAAAAGAAGAAGTTGAAAATAAAATGAAAGAAATGAAAATAAGACAAGAAAATGAAATTTACGAAGCTGAAAAATTAACTATTATAAAACAAGATAATATGCAAAAAGACATGGAAACTCATTTGATGTCACTCATGTCGGATTTTAAACAAGCGAGTAATATAGCCATGGGGGAAACAATAAATAAATTAATTAGAGATAATATTACCCTGGGTAATATGCTCACGTGCATACAAGAAACTATAGAAGAAGCAAGAAAAAATTACAATACGATTCACAGTCGTGAAATCAATTACAAATATAATGTGCGTTAATTTGTTTCCAAGCATAAACAAAAATATGCGTAACACTTAAATAAATTATTTATAAATTAAACAAATTTTTAAACCTAATATAAAAACTAAATGATTTAATATTAGTAATTTTATTTTTTTTTTTTTTAGGCAGAACTTTTGGAAGCTGAAAACAAAATTTTAAAACAGAGAAACGAAATCAAATTAGAAACTGTTGAAACTTTGGTAAAAGTTCAAGAAGATTTATATGAAAGAATAAAACATTGTAAAAAACTAGTTAAAATTAATAGAAGACTTCAAAGGCAAATAACTGAAGAAGAATGTAAATTAAAAGAAAAAAATGAAGATTTTAAAAATCTCACGAAAATATTAGACAATACGGAACAAAAATTTAATTCTGTGACTAAAATGTTTGCCGCCATGCAAAAAGAAGTTGTACAATTAGAATTTTCCATTTTTGAAGTTGCATTGAAAGTTAAAGAAGCTATCGAAATAGAAGTAAGATAAATTTTTTAATTAAGCAACGCGGAATTTTTTTTTTAATAACTTCGATAATTACTTTTGTTTTTTTAAACTAGAACGTTACTCAAATTGATCCTGATGAACATGAAATGGCTAACAAAGAAGATTATGAAGAATTATTAAATGAATATAAATTTAAAAAAAGAGAATCAGCTGTTGATTATGTAATAAACAAATTTTCTACAATACAAGTAGCTGATAGTGAATCACATTTACTGAAAATAATATCAGAATCAACCATAAGCACTTATGGTGAAACCATTTCAAGCACAGATGATCCATTTTAAAAAGAATATTTTAAATTATAATATTTAAAAATTTAAAATAAAACCTAATGAAAGATCAGCAAAGACTTTGACACTTTTAAATAACATAAAATTTAGTGTTGTAATTAATTAGAGCTAATAAAACTCATTCAACTAATCATTTTTAAAATTTAAAAATATTGTAAATTAATGTTTAAAAAATAATGGTCAAAATAAAATAAGCTTACACTAGTGTCAGTTAATTCCTGAACAATGGCATTCCATTTTTCTTTAATATCTGTCAAACTGTTTATTTTTTTAGATATCCTATTTTTCAACTTTTCATCCCATATTAGTGATAATAATTTTTTTAAGGATTCAGGTTTTTCTAGTAAATTTTGACCTTCGATGCAAACTTCGAAAAATTTGTTTCTGATTATGTTAGAGGCTCTCCTGTAAATAAATTTTATAATTATAAATTTATTAAACATGTTCTTTTATTATAAAATTTATTTTTACCTTATAGATGGATGTAATTTATCGGATATGGGTAAATTAACTTTTTTCGCACAATTACTACTTCCAGAAATTAATTGTAAATAATCTGCCACTGCACTTCTTTCTTGACTTGAAAGTATTTTTGCTGATACATCACAAACCCAACAATGAATTCCTCTTCTTCCAGAGAATACCCAAAGTAGATTTTGAAAACCAAAATCCTCTAAAATTAAATGTTAAAAATTTAAACAAGAACCTAATTCTAGAATATGTATATATGTCTGCATAAATTTTTCTAATATTTACCTCTTAGAGCTAAATCGATTATTTTACAAGCTATTGCCATAAATTTCCAACATTTAAGGCAAATATCTGCACCCTGACAACAATTTCTAACATCATCATAGTCAGTTAAATCAATATCAAATACTAATTCTCTGGCAACTGGAACTAGGGATGATGCAACTTGTCTATGACGACTAGGTCTAAATAATTTAAAAAAAATTTTTTTGAACAAAGTATAAAATAATGCAACACCGGAATAAATGTATATTAAATAAGAATTTCTTATAAATTACACATAACAAACTTACTGAAACGAAAAAATTGCACCTATATCAATTTTGAAAGGTACTTTTTTTTTAATTGCTTCTTCCATTTCATTTTGATTATTGTATGATTGATAACGAATGTAAATATCATCGTGAAGAGTAAATGAAAATTCTCGATTAGAAAAATGCCTGCTGTCTACTGTAAATTTACATGTTCACAAAAATATGTTTATAAGAGG